TTGAAGCTCCTTAGCAGTGTTCTATTGAAACCAAGGCTACAAGCAAAGCATATAATCCTACATTGTGTCTCCTACATGTAATGTGGTAAAGCAACTGGGGATGGGTAGTCAGCGAATCTTCCGGTTTTTATTTTCTGCTGCCCTAGGGACCCAAAACCCTGAAGTAGCTGTCTTTGCTCCATAGATGGCCATAGACTTAGTCTGAGCTGTAAATGACCTAATATTTTTCCTCCCTGAGATTTTGAGTTCCAATATAACATTTTATTACCAGAGCTGTCACCCAAGCACATCTGAGGTCTAGGCAAGGTTTCTGACTTGGAAGATACCACCGGATCTGACTCCCATTTTTGTTTGTTTTAAACAAAATTCCAAAGGGAACAATTAAGATCTAAACCAATTTGGGTGATTTTAGTGGCCTAGAGAGAGAACCCAAATCAAATTGACTTGAGCAATAAAGGGTATTGACTCATGTAAGTGAAAGAGATGAGAGGCATTTAGGCTTCAGGAACAGTTGGATCAGGGCTTCAGCCTCTGCTTTCCTCCATGCATTAGCTCCATCTTCGGTCTCCCTCTCTGATGATAGCAAAATGATTGCAGCACTTTCCAGATTGCACCAAAGGAGAGTAGTGCTGTTTCAGCATGCCCTTGAAAAGTTGTCAGACTCGCTTTTGCAAACTGATTAGGTCATAGGCCTTTCCCTGAAATAATCAGGAAGCAGGAGAACAGAACCCAATGGCTGTCTTGGCTAAGGTCACTTAGCGTCTTTGTTGAAGGTTAGTTCCTGGATCTTCAAACACTAACTGGGGGGTGACTGGCAAGGAAGATGAGACTAGGCCTGGGTTAGGCCCAATAATGCCATGAAATAGAGCACAGAAGGGGGCAACTAGGGCACAGCAGACTTGCTGTCTAGGAGGGCACGTCAGTCCTTGAAGGCTGGGGTGCTCCCTGCCCAGACTGAAGCTCTGGGCCTCTCTGCTCTGAGGAGCCCCCTTGCTGGTGCCATCTGCCATGGCCTCAAGCTGCACAGAGTGCTGGTCTTCGGGCGACTGGGGAGCTGCACGCACCCCTTTGCATTTTCATACCCTGTAACCTGTCCAGGACCTGCTTGTTGGACCAGGGGTAAAGCAGAGTGAAAGCAAGGTCAACGAAGTCCCACCTCTAAATACTGTCCCAACTTCAACATGAGTTTTGAAAAACCAGCCTCTACCTCAGAGCAAAGCCTGTCCAAGGAAGGGACATGACCTTTGTCCTTGGAAAGACCCACAGAGCACTCCTAGGCACATTCCCACCCTGCTGAGTGGTTCATCTACAAATAACAGGAGCGATCTGCTGGCCAGGGGTCCCTGACTCAGCAGGCTAGGTGGGGACCCATAGCAACCCCCTAGCAGCCACCAATCAGCATGAGACAGGGAAACACCTGGGATGCCAGGTGACCCTCCCAGTAGTTTATGGTGGTTGATAACAACTTGGGAAACCATGTAGTTCAGCACGAACACCCCTCTTGGCTTAAACCAATCAGTTCAAATGAATCCCCCTCTTGTAGTAACCAATCACCCCTACCCAACTTGTTCCCGCCAGTGGATGTGCTAATCATGTTTTAGAGTTGTTATTTGATTTTCCCTCGGTGTGTGATGATTTGCTAAGAGATGCTATGATGTATGTGGGGGTCCCTGCCTTCTCCAAAGAATGTATAAAACTGCTGCAAACCCTGGGCTCGGGGCCTCTCAGCGTCACCAGTTGCTGTGTGTGCGGGGAGGACCGAGCTAGCTCGCAATAAACACCTCTTTGCTGCTTACATCGATCTTGGGTCTTTGGTGGTCTTTGGGGGTCCCGAATTCGAGCATAACAGTTTCAGAGGGAGGATTCAAACCATAACAGGCACTGAATGAGAGTATTGTTTTAAGACTTCAGAACTAAGTTCAGGTAAAGAAAGTATTTCCTATTAAGGAAGCACAGTGGTGAAGTACTGAAATAGGTTCTGAGGGAGGTGATAGAGTTCTCTTAGGGAAAAAGTACAGAATAGAGAAGTTTATTGACAATGAGAGTTTATTTATATATGACCACAATCTACCTGATTTCTAAGGGTGTCTGCTGTCTCATGGTTTATTTCATTTGGTTCTTACCAAAGAATAATTCTTGGAAGGTAGTCTTCATATTGAGCTTTTTATAGTAGGAAAGTTTCTCGAAAGACAAATTGTGACATAAATTTCTACTTTATTAACATTTCACCATGAGCCAATCTAGGTGTTTTTGCTGCAAAGGTAAGCAAGATTCAGTTTCTGCTCTCAAGGAAGACACAATTGAGTGGCTGGACTCAGGTATGCAAACTAAATGGTGCCCTGTACTCTACACGACAGCGCTTCTCCAAGTAGTGTCCTCGGAAGAGATGGATCCAGGTCACTTGAGAGTGTTACTTAAAACTGGATCCCCAAAGCCCAGACCTGCTTCATCATTTGGGAGTGGGAGGAAGATGAAGATGAGTCTCTGCACACTGAAATTGGACAGTTGGTCTGGGGTTGAGAGAGAGAGAAGGGAGAGAACCATCAGTGCCACGTTGGCAGCGGTGGAGAGGAAGAGTGGTTTTCTCATGGAGTTGGATAGGGCTTTGAAAAAGATGAGCTGGTCAGCAGGGGCCTTTTGGGCAGGAAGTAGAGTGAGCAAGGTAGGACATCTCCTGTCCCCCAGCATGAGTGTTGCTTTCTCTTGTTCCTGGAAATGGGCTGAAGAAGGAAGGGTGGGGGACTTACCAGAGCTCAATGCCTTGCAAACAGGACAGCCTCCTCACACGCGTGACATGTTGAGTGCAAGTCTGCTAAGGTTCTGCTCCACGTTTTCCTCCTGGGACATTCATAAAATAGGAGCTAAAGGAAGTCGAAGGGCTGTTCAGATAGAAGAAGGAGAAAATATAACAGATATAACAGAGCCACGTGGTGGCTGCTGAATTTGTGCTCCTAGGTGGCATGTGTTGCTTTTACTTGCGGTGTATTGGCCATCACATGACATCAATGGAGCAGGTCCAGATGATTCGGTCACAGAAAGGGGCAGCATATATTTGGAATAATTTAAAAAATAATATGATCTCCTGTAGGTAGGAGTTAGTAGTCATCACTGAATTACTGAATTAAAGGAAATCAGTGAACTATAAAAAGAATCAAGACATTCCATAATCTTTTAAAAGAAATTAGGTTTTAAGGGTAATAATGAGATGTTTGATTCATCATTTTTGTTTTGTTTTAGTTTGGTTTTATCTGCACCTATCAGCCAAGGCCAGGAAAATAAAAATATAAAGGTGTTTCCTTCCCAAAGGTGCTCCTTGGAACTCCTGGGTTCTAAGAGATGCTGCTGAGAATGGCAATCCTTTAGCAAATAAGTTTAGGAGACTTGAGCTTTGAAAATGCACATTTAAGTGTTAAGAGTTCATAGGAGTTCTTTAGTGGTGAAGCCTAATTTAAATGTTTTAAATCAGCCTCATTTAAAACAATTGAAGCCTAATTAAAATCTTTTGTATTTTAACCCTACTTTTCCCAAGGTAATTTGATATCAGAACCTTTTTGCATAACACTTAATGATAGGTTGCAGGACTTGTGTCTGGTGGAACACACTTTAGAAAACGAAATTACATTAAAACACTGTCCAAGAACATCTCACTTTCCCTTGGTAACCACACCAGCATTTACCAAACTTCCCTCTAAGATTCAATGTGACAGCTAATCCAAGTGTCTCACAAAGTCCATGTCCTGGGGTTTAAGATACATGATTAAGATGGGAGCCAACATAACAGTGATTACACAGGACTTTGCTACTTTCTATTTAGATTACTACAGTCCAACAAGATGCAGGCTGCAAGACACTTCACCCACAAGAGATGCTTAAGCATTTGTAAAGTTGGGACCTAGCAGAAGCAACATGATGGTGACCACACAAAGCTTGATATGCAATCAGTCAAGCATTTGGATTGAATAGGATGGTATTGATCTGCCAACAACCCCTTCAGAAATCTGAAGGAATGATCTGAAGCGCCAAATCACTGATAATGTTTAATTCTAACAACAATTCAGTTTAGTTCAGTTTCCTAAACGCCCTTTGAACAGGTGCTTGTGAGATTCTAGATTCTGTACTGCTTCTAGATTTTAATGCTGAGAGCTAGTTGTACTATTTAAAAATTTAAGACAATGATTTGTTGTTTTACTTCTGAAATTCTACTCAGTCACTTATAGTCTAGGTGAATAAATCCAGTAATGCTGGTGCACAATCTCTCGAGGTAATTCTCATTTAATACCTGCATTTACTTACATGGCACTTACTTCTAAAAAAAAAAAAAAAAGCATTTGAAGAGGCACCTCATTAGGTGCATTCTAAGAGTCCCTCTTTCCTGCTAATCTCCTTTTGAGGTTGATTAAAATGTTAGGAAAGACACTCCCATGCCCAAACATTTTTACCCAATTTGTTTACTTTCTGTTTTTCTTTTTAATAGTTTCCTCTTTTTTCCTTGCTTTTCTCAAATTGGTATATTATACTTGCGTACATATAGAGTAAAAAAAAACTGCAATTATGAAACAAATATGTGCTTAAATTTAAAGCAGTTAGTTATCAAAGACAAATGGACGCAGAACTTGCACCATAATGAATCTGCTCAATATTGACATAGTGAATTGTCCTGAGATTAAACCACAACCAGAAAAGCAGGCGGAGGTTCCCTGAGTGACAGGGGCTTTGTGGGGGGGCAGTGCCTCCCAGGGGGAGAGTTCATCTTCTTACTCAAAGAGACGCCTTCAGGGATCATGTAACTTGAATTCCCTGTGAATTCACTGTCATCTTAGCTTGACCAGTTCTGGAAGAACATATTAACCTCCGCTTGTGATTTTCAGAAAACCATTCTCATTTAGCAAGTAATTATGGGTCACATGTAGGACAAAGAGCTAGATAATCTTGGATTACCCACAGGAAGCTTTGTCTCCAAGGCAACCCCCAATGGTGGGGCTGCTAATGCGAAGGCCAGTCAGTTAATGAACTGGGAAAGGTAACTGGCTCCCAAACCTGTTAGAGCCTGGAAAATGGATCTAACAATTATATTGCTACTGAATGATCCGGGATAGAAAAGAAATGCTTCAAAAAGCCAGGGAGGAAAAACGTTTAGAGAATGGATATAGTGTCATTGTTCTGCTAGACAAAGCCGACACGTCTGCTCCTATCCTATGGCGAGTTCAAGCCAGGCCAGTCTTTATTTATGAATTTTGCCTGGTCTCCCACGGAATCCACTGGTTTCAGTTCTTTCTATGACCTAATTACCCCACAACCTGGCTTTTCCTAAAGGGGCAGCTTCAGTTCCCACACCAGCCTAGGAGAGTGGCCAAGGGACCTGTGGAAGAGGAGACAAAGGTGATATTGTCCCTCAGAGTCTTTGTCACTTCAAACTGGATCAGAAAGTAAGATAAGGTGGCCCAGATAAGCTCCAGAAGAGGATTTTAGGCCAAGTCGGTAAAGGTGGCAGAGAGGACTGAGGCCACGGACCAGGGAGACACTGTGGTAAGGTGGAAAGAAAATCAACAGCGTGTTCACAAGGAACTTGAGAGTGGAAAATTCTAGAATCCTCTACTTCCTCAATGCTTCCTCTCGCTCTTCCTCTCTTCATCAATTTCTCTTTGTCTTTTTTTTTTTTAATCTGTTTTTTCCTAATGGACCAATTTAAAGCCTTCTATAACTTCATAGCCATTCTGGGCTCCTCTTCTGCTCCTTATTCTACAGCTCTGAGCCCTTACTCCTCTCCCATCCTTAAACACTTCAGAACCTCGCTGCACCCCTGGACAGTGTGTCCCCTTCCTGTGTTCAGCAACAGTGTGACAGGCCTGGGTTCTGTGTCTTGTAGTTTGAGTGGGACATTTATTTAGGAAATAATGACAATGATCATGAAGTGATAAAGGCGAATTGCTGCAGTTTGGATCTGAAACGTCCTCCAGAAGCCCATGTGTTCAAGGTTGGTGTTATTGGGGGTGGGGGGTGGGGGTGGAAACTTTAAGAGGTTTTCTGGTCACTGGGGATGTAGCCTTGAAGAGGATGAGACTCTGGCCGCTTTCTCTTTTTTTTTTGTTCCCACCATGCTATGGCACCACAGGCCCAAAGCCAGCGGGACAATCATAGACTGAAACTTGTAAAACTGTCCGTCGAAATAAACCTTTTCTTGTTATAAGTTGCTCATCTCAGGTATTTTGCAGAGTGAAGGAAAGCTGACTGACACAGAAATCCACAGCCAACGTTCACAAAAAGTGGAAGAGACAAAAGGAAGCCTGTATGATAAATAAGGCTCAAAGCACTCTGGGAGTTGAAACCCCAAACAGGGTCACTGAATGAGTAGCAGGCAGAGCCCCAAGGAAGGTCCCAAGAAATTCGAAGACGTTAGGCCCAAAGGCAGCTCCACCAAGGGGAATGGAAACGCTCTCTTGTATATTGAAGAGATGACACATGGGGAAAACGTCCCCCTGAGTGGATGGGCGTGGTACAGTGCCAAAGGAGATGTCCACAGAGCCCTACGTGTTTACTGAGGGAACTAGAACTGCCAAAGGGACATCCGATCTTCCTCTCTCAGAGTCTTTGTAAACAGATTTAAGAGGGCTAAGGCAGAAAGTAAATTTAGGAGCACAGACAATGCCTGGGCCAATCAGGAGGCTTGAGATCAACTGCAGCATTTTGTCTGCGCTATTTCAATGGCCCGCAAGTCTGCGTGGAGGCGCTCCATGTCTGTAATTCCGGTAATGATTTATGACCTTCTCTGGTTTAAATTTCAGATTTCCCTGGCCACAGCTGAAAACCATGTCAATGGACAAGAAGGTGGCCCTGACACTCATTCAGCAAGCGTGCCTGGTGTGCCTGGGTAACAAGACTGCGCACTGTTCTAGGCCACAGAGACAGGGCAGCGAAGAAGAGAGACCAGCTCTTGTAGCCCTGGTGTTTGGCACGCAGTGAGGACAGTGGAACAACTGGAGGTCGGGAAAGTGGGGGATTCCTTCCCTGCCCATGATAAAGGGTCATGGGGGACATCCCTAAAGCAATGGCAGGTTAGCAAGAGGAAAGTGAGTGTGACAAGTGAGTTTGATCATGGTTTTATATGAAGACCCCAAGGCCCATGGGGAACCGTCCAGGTTTGTGTTCAGGTTCAATGGCCCAGGGATGGCCGTGTAAAATGTGCTGGGACTCAGAGGGTCTGAGCTGGTGTAAACAGACTGCAGGGGACCCAGCAAGTCCTGGCGGCCAGGTCTCTCTTGGCCCCTCAGTTCTAGCATTTCTTCCTCACACTCTGAGGCAGGATCCTTCTGAAATGGGCGTCTTAGGTTCTCTTTTCGACAATGCAAGCCAGGGAATTTCTTCCCGGCCAGCTCCAGGACAGAAAGGTGGGAGGAGGTTAGGTAATAGCTTTGGTTTTCATAGCTTGCATTGAGGAGAAAGGGTTCTGGCTTCTATGGCCTTGAGGAAGAGAGATTCTAGTTCTCTGGCTTGCTTTTGGTGGAAGGGAAGGGAGAAGCAGACAGGGAGGACAGAAGGGTCAGGGAAGCTTGGTCCCGTGGTCAGTTTTTGAGGTCTTCATTCAGGGGTATCATTTCCTGAGCCCCAGCACAATAAAACTCTCAACATCTTTAAGGAAAGGTCAAACTGTGACATCGATAAGTGCTGTTAAAACAAACAAACAAAACCAGACAAAGGAGATAGGGTGAGCAGGGGGAGTGGTGGGCAGGGAAAGCTGGTACCTTGGGTTGATAGCTCTGGGAAAGGCTCTCTGTGGGGAGACATTTGATCTGAGGGTTGAGCGATAAACAGGCAGGCTCCGGAGGATAAAGAAGCAGAGCATCCCAGGCAGAGGGACAGCAAGTGCAAAGGCCCTGAGGTGGGAGAGACAGGGCACATTTAAAGAGCACATAAGAAGCCCAGAATGACTGGTCAGAAGGGGAGACGGTTAGGGGAGAAGGTCAGAAGGACCAGCAGCAGCCTTCTAAACATGGTGGACTCTAATGGCAGTGGACAGCAACTGGAGGGTGTCAAGCAAGGGATGAGTATAGTCTTATGTGATCTCTGCCAATAAACCAATCTAGCAGACCAGCGGCACCAGCAACACCCGGGAGCGTGTCAAAAACATGAGATCTCAGGTCCCATCTAGACTGACTATATCAGAATTTAGATTTTAATATCATTTGTACATGAAACTTGGAGAAGCACTGCCACAATCATATTTGTGTTTTAAAAAGACTCTAGGGCTCATCCACTAGGATGGCTATAATTTTTTTTTTTTAAAGGAAAATAACAGGGCTGGGATGTCGCTCAGGGGTTCAGCTCTTGCTTAGAACATGGAAGGCTCTGGAATCAGTCCCAAGCACCACCAAAAATAACAACAAAATTTTAAAAAGGAAAACTACAAGCTTTGGTGAGGATACGGAGGTATTTGAACCTTCATGCATTGCTGGTGGGAGTGTAAAGGGGTGTAGCCACTGCAAACACAGTTTGGTTGTTCCTTGAGGATGTCAACACAGAGTCACCCATTTAGAGTGATTTCACTATGGGGCACAGACTTCAAAGAATTGAAAACAGATGTTCAAAGAAAACTGTGCACACGGATGTTTCTAGCAGCACTATTCACAAGTGACAAAAGGCAGAAACAACTCAGTGCCCAGTAACTGGTAAGGGGATAAACAAAGTACGGTATATCCATGTACTGGAATATTAGCTATCCCTGAAAGGAATGAAGTGCTGGCTCATGCTGCAAATGGAGGGACCTCAAAAACATGCTGCGTGAAAGAAGCCAGACACGGTAGGTGACATGCCTATGATTCCATTTATATGAAATATCCAAAATGGACAGATCCATGGAGAGACAAGGCAGATGGCTGTTGCCAGGTACGGGGGCAGGGGAATGACTACTTAGTGGGTGCAGGGTTTCCTTTAGGAGTGATGGACATGTTCTGCACTAGATCGTGCTGACGGTGTACAATATGGTAAATGTATTAAGTGTCACTAGTGGTAAATTTTGTGTTATATGTATTTACCATGATTTTAAAAAATAACAAAATACTGGAAAAACCAAGAGAGAAAACATACCAAATAGTATTTCCCAAAAGGCCACTTTTGTGGGTTTAGTGGGTAGCTACTAATTGTGTGTGTATGTGTGTGTGTGTGTGTGTGTGTGTGTGTGTGTGTGTTTTCAGAAATGGGGTTTGAACCCAGGGTGCTCTACCACTGAGCCCTTTTTATTTGTATTTTGAGACAAGATCTCGCTGAATTGCCAAGGTTAGCCTCAAACTTTTGATCCTCCTGCTTCAAGCCTCTTGAGTCATTGGGATGACAGGCATGGGCCACCATATCCAGGCCTAATGTGTCTTAATTCTGTAACATTTCTTTAACGATAGGCTACTAATACCTTAACATACACATATATTGTTTTGAGAAAACACCTAATAGAGCGAATCAATATCTTGTTGGAAGTTACAAGACAAAAGAATGTGGCACATTTAGGCCAAGTAGAATGCAGATCTGCAAGGTCAAGCAGAGGAACTGAGTGAATAATTGCTAGGGGCAGAAGGTGGGAAAAGGTGCAGGAGAAGGCAGAGAGCATGCACTTTGGAAATCCAGAAGGGAGTACTGAAAAGAAACAATTTCCTCATCTGGATCCACACACTCATGAATTGCAAATCGTATAAAAATAACCATATCTCCTTGCCATTCCAATTAGCATGACTCAGACTGATGCTCACACTACCTCCAACTCTGAGTTTGCAAGGTAACCTGAGAAACCACGGAGAACCCTGGATCGATTGGATTTGGATATTAATCCCTGTGAAGAGAAGTTATTGCTCATTCACTCATTGGTTCACCCCCACCCCCATGCAATCTCCCCATCACTTACACTACTCTATGTCACCAGAGGTGGTGGGGAACAGTGTCTAAGAGCGTGAGCTTTGGGACCAGAGTGGCCTTGAATCATGTCTTCACCGTTTATTGTGTGTGATACTGGGTGAGTCACTTAATCTTTTGTGTTTCTGTTTTCTCATCTATAAAATGGGAATGACGATTCAGTATTGTGAGAATTAACTGAGTCAATACCTGGGAAAGGCTGTGACAGTGCTTGGAATGTAGGAATCACTCCATTCATTAGCTGCTTAATAGTGTGCACGATGTTAATGAACACCAATGTTATCATTACTCTGTTGGGCACTGGGATTATGGATGGAGTAAGGTGTTCTTCCCGTTCTGGCAGAGCTCATGTCTGGTGGGGGCTGATTGACTGCAGCTCCACCTGCAGAACACTCCCACCTCCATCTTTACAAAGCCATCGTTTGTCAATGGCTTCCTGACTGAATTTCCTTTTTATAAGGATACTGGTTATTGATGAAGACCAGTGTGACCTTGTCTTAACTTGATTATACCTGGAAAGACTCTTCACAAGAGGTCATGTTCCTAGGCACAGGGGTTGGAACTTGAATACGTCCTTTAGAGAGAACACAAGTCAACTCACAGAAGGGCCTGACCAGTTAGAGCAGAGGAGAGACGCAGACAGAGCTGTGCGGTCCAGGGGTCGTTCTGATGGTTTGAGCTAAGGATCTGGAGGACCCCGAGATGCTTGAGGACCAGGGAGCAGATTATTGGGCAATGGCAAGTGGGAGCTGCTGAGGCTCATGTTTTGGCTGAGCCACCAGGAGCCCTGGCCAGCCCAGTCAAGAAGGTTTCACTGGAAGTGGGGAATGTGCACGTCTACTGGGAGGCACATCCCATCTTGCGGGGGGAACGGCCACTAACCACTATTTCTGAGACCTGTATCTCATTGGGTTGGATAAAATGGTAACATTCCTATTCCATTATCTCTTCATGGGGAGATGCTTCTATAGAAGGTAACATTCTCTTATCAACTGTTTTCTTTGTTCTACTTAGTGGACAGGAGAAAACCTCCTCCTCCTCCTCTTCCTTCTCCTCCTTTTCTTCCTCCCTCCTCCCTTTAACACGGGTTTCAAGCTACAGAGTTGGTTCCCTGACAGCCTCCAGAAGTAATCTTCATGTTTTGTGGTTGTGGCTTGTCGTGTTTTTCTCTTCATTTGGTATCATTTTGAACTCGTGCTGCATTTTATATTTAATGTGTTTTAGCCCATTATTATCCTTAAAAATGTTCCAGTCATTCCAGGGGAGGCCTCTTCATGTCGTCTCCTGGGTCCTCTTAACGGATCCCAGAATCTTGATCGTTTTCTTTCTTGAACTTTTCTAATTTGACAGTGAAGACTTGTATATGTATAATTGAGTATTAATTTGCATTTCTTGTGCATTTAGATGGATGTATCAAGTTTGCAGCTGACCAGTCCATGGGTCAAGTCACGCAGCATGCTGTACTCAAAAGTTCCGGGAATTATAGACCAGGAGCCCTGTACTCTAACCTCACCATTGGTGTGAACTGACATGTGCTCATTTATCTTTCTGAATCTTCTTTTCTCCTTACGAGGAAGTGTGCCTCCACAATCTTCAAATTCTCCTCTCAAGCTAAAATGCGGAGATCTTCATTTATGAATCTCACGTAGTCCAGTCCTTATATTTTTCCCAATAAATCAATTAAAAAATTGTATAAAGTTCAATTTAATTTTTGTGCTTTTACTAGTTCCTTTATCAAATTCACATGTAAAACAAAAAAAGTGTTAGATTATGTGTTCAAGACTTTTTATTATTAATTATTATTATTATTTAAAATATGGTCACTGAACTGATGAAGGCCACATGGATTGACCCTTCTGCTTGCTCTTTCAGAAGCTGCAGCCAACTGGCAAATAGCTTCCCCAGCCTCCTGCTGGAGCATCTGCTAATGCTCTGCAGATTACCAGGGCCCCTCCACCCTGCACCCCCCCCCCGCCCTTGCCCTCCATCCGTGGGCTCCTCATTAACTCATTAGAAGCTGCTTCAATAGCAGCTGGAGAGAGGTTCTGCTGTCTGTGACTGTAGCTCAGCATTTTTGAAGCAGCTGCTTTGGTGTCCCCTAGAGTCTTGGGTAAATATGACAGCCACTCTGGTGCTGCACACAGACACATTGAGCTTTTCCTCCATAGTGCTGGTCACAGCATCATGATTCAAAGTGTTCTGTGCAGAGATATGTGTGTAATGTCTGCCTGGTGCACCCGACAGCTCTCTCCAGGAGGGCAGGCCATGTCGCATCTTGCTCCTTTCCATATCCTGAGCACTCGGTATTTGGGTATCCCAATATTTGCTGGATACTGAATGTGTAGGTGCAGGAGTGACAGAGAGCCAGGTTGAGGGAGAGCCTCCCAGGCACACAGTGACTTTCTGTTTGATGTATAAATTGTGCATGAAAGAAGAAATATTCCCCCAGTTTTGGGCTACCATGCCAGTGTCATGTACATATTTGTATGCATACATAAAACAGGCCTCTCTCATTCTAACCCAAGTTACTCAGAAACTTCAGTGCAGGAAGCTGGCGAGTTCTTGTCCCGTGAGTCTGTGCGCTTTTAGTAGAAACAGCATCAACTTGGTAGATGAAAGATCTGGAATCTGGGACAGACTCAAACACTTTCAGTGACCTACATGATTTTGAACCCATTTCTTCATCTGTAGAACAGGGGTCTGGGGCCAGAGCACTTATTGGACTCTTTCTAGCATGGAGATCCTAAGGTCCTCTCTATGGAAAAAGTTGTCTCACTGACCCAGAGCTCAGCATAGCAGCAGTCTGTCTTCTCAGCCCAGGAATGCCACAGAGGAGGTTCATTCTAAATACCGGCTCCCGGCGCCCAGTGAAGCTCTTCCTGAGATTGACAGTTTGCCAAACCCCATGCTGCCTAATCATTTTTGCCTTTCAAGACTCTGCTTCCCAGCTTTCTCCCTCCCCCTCTCAGTCACCCTATGTCAGTTTTAAATTACTGACCCCTGACTGTGTGCCAGGCACTGTTCCAAGCCCCTGACAGGTATTGACTCATTTCCCAAGGATAAAACTTGATCCCTCTAGCTTTTGCACACATCACGTGCTCCTATTTACTGGCTGACCGTTGTCATGTCAGTTTCACATCTCTTTGACTGATGTGCTGCGGCATGGGTGGATTTTATGTTAGGGTGGTGTGGAAAAGGGAACCTGAGCGTTGGGTTACTTCTGTGGAAATGGAAGATAAACTGCAGGGCCACTGCCCTAGAGGAGGCTCTTGGTGTGCCCGGAAATTAACCTCCAAGAAGCGTCTGACCACAATACGAGATATATGTGAAGTGCTAAATCCCGAGGAGGCATACTTTATAAATCCTCCAAGATACTTTATAAATACTTCATAAATCCTACTAGAGCTCAGGGGAAGGAGAGTTGAAAGGGAGCCTGGGTAATCCAAGTGCTTGATGTCACTCTCCAAACTTCTATGGTGTCCTGACTTTCCGGGGGTCCTGTTACATAGCGGGAACATCAAGCCCTGCTCAGTGCCCTTGAGATGTTTCTGGAAGCCTGTTTTTGCACAGCACACAGCTCCTCTCTGCCTCTTAATCCATTCTGGCTTCTGTCCTACTTCCAAAAATGAAAACCGCCTTCAATGAAGAGATTGTAATTTCATTTTTCTGATAAGTTATACAGACTATTTCTAGAGATGGGGAAAACAGGGGCGGGGGGCGGGGGGCGGGGGGGAAGTGCAGAGGAGAAGCACCCCAGCCCAAACACACCAGCTCTTGGAGTCACTGTGGGTCCATCACTTCTGTCTTCTCCCAGCCAACACCCCTTGAGGACATTGTGGTCACTCTGTTTGATCCCATGCCCCTTGAGGACATTGTGGTCACTCTGTTTGATCGACATGGAGGAGAAGGTGAGAGGAAGAGCGTTGTCCACAGCCAGAAGGGATGGCAAGCCACATCCAAAGAACTCAGGGAAAACTCACTGAGAGGCAGGGAGGCCGGGGACTCGGCCACATCCATGCAATTTCTTCCTCTGGTTCTGAATGCAAGCTAGCGTGGAGGGACATCATGGTTTGGGCTGAATCCTGGACCAGTGTGGGAATTAAAGGGCAGAAAACCGCTGGACTCGCCAGAACCATCTCTCCCAGCTGCTCTGGGAAGGTGGTATAGAAAGATTTTAAAACAAACTATCCCGGCCTCCTCTTTCTCCCCATCAAACCTCCCCTTCCAAGACCCACACAAACCACAGCTTTATTTTTTTTGTCGAGCTACAACTATATACATTCTCTCTCTTTTTTCCGTCTCATTAACTCCACTCCCTCAGCCTCCCTCGCTTTTCCAATGATTAAAGTAGCGGGCTTTTAAAAAAGGCCCCCAATTAGCACCTCATCAGCTCCAATTAGAGGAGACAAAAGCAGTGTAAAGATAACTCAATGAGAGGGGCCGGCCACAACATCATGTAATCACTTAAGACAAGCATTGAGCATTCTCTCTGCGACCCACACTGGGCCTATTCACCTTTCTTTCTTCCTTTTGGATGCATTTAAGACTGTTTTGCTGGGAAGACAGGCCTCCCAGGAGTCTCATAATTCCTCATTCAGAGGCTACCTGTTTACAGCTCAGAGAGCCCAAGGACCTAAACAATCCTATATTGTGTGCCCTGGGCTTCCTTCAACTCCAGCTCCCTAATGGCGTATTTTCTGTGGCAGAATAAGTTAAAGGCTGGCTTTATCCTCCGAGAGTTCTCCTTGTACTGTCTTCTAATTACAAGGGAGGGCAACAATGTATTTTTTTTTCAATGAGAGTTCTTTGGAGCAGTTAATTTGGAGCCTGTACTAAATGCCCCCAAACATTAATTAGGGTGGAAGGAACCCTAATTTCCTCAGCGGCTCTCCCCTCCACTTACTTCCCTCGCTTTCACATAGGCCTGGACGAGTCTCCATAATGAAATTACCTCATTAATGCCTTTATTCTTCACAGTAACTCATTCAAAACCGACCATTTAGCTTTAATTGAATGCTGTCAAAAGGAAAAAGGTGCATTCATGGCTTTGATTAGCAAAAAATTTTCCCCCCTGAGGGGCGGACAGATTTAAATTATGAAGATGGTCAGTAGTGAGTTATAATTGGGCACAAGCAGCACTTCAGGGAAGCTTAAATGCTTTCAGAGCCAGGGCTGGCCAGTCTGCGGACTATTAACTATGTCCAGGGCCTTGTTCTCTGTATTTGAATTGATGGCAACTTAACTATAAAAAAAGAAAATGGGGTTTAATTTTTGTTTAATACACAGTGGGGTTCTATTTACCCACAGAGCAATAGCTTTTCGATGAGCTCAGGCTTTGTTCACTTAATAATTTATTATCCGTGCTCTCTAACACGGGCTTTGAAGGGTGCCACGTACGTATTGCTTCCAGGGAAAAACTAAAAACCTGAAGCGCAGGGATCAGGCAAGTGGGTGGCTGATTACACCTTACCAGGGCCCGGGGAGGTGAGCTCTGAGCCACCGTCACTGTTGAAGTCACAGTACCCTGGAAAATTAACTTTAAAGAAACCCTTTCCTCAGTTTTTCTCATGTGCTACAATCATCCTGTGAAGTGGGACTTAGAGGTCAGGGGCCTGGTGACAAAGCAGAAGCTCAGGGGCCTAAGGGAGTCGTTTAGAATCACAGAGGCCAGCGCAGGACCAGAAGCCCCTGCAGTAGAAGCATGAGGTAAAACAGGACACTTTGATTTTTGAAGGCAGAACTGCTTTATGGCAACATCCAGAGGTCAAGTGTGTTTACATTGGCTCCATCTCAAGTTGTATATAAAGGAGACCATCAACGTTACCAGACAGTGCTGGGCCAGTGGCAGTACCTAGGTTACATTATATAAATCGTTGGAGAACATAGGTCCTGAAGTGTCAGTGAATCATGAATAGATGGTGTGGGTCTTTCTGGAACCAAAGTGGTCTCCTTCCTTCATTAAGCAAAAGTTGTGGGAGCAGGAGAGTCACCTTATCTAAAAGACTGACAGAAACATACTTATTTAATTATAATAGTCACACTATTGTAGGCAAGACAGGGCTTCCAGGGATAAAGAGGGAAGAGAGAGAGAGAGAGAGACAGAGAGACAGAGAGCGAGCGAACAAGTAAAACCATATTGCTTGTTTTTCAAAACCAGAAGCAACCAATAAGGCCGATTGGAGGCTCAATGGAGAGCATATGGGCCCTGGAGCCAGATAGTTCTGCTTTAAAAGTGCCACCTCTGCAGTGAGGGGGATACTCGAGTTCTCTCAGCCTTAGTTTCCTTGTTTGTTTAATGGAGATAATAAACACCCCTGTGAGGATGAGAGGAGATCACACGTGAACAATGCAAGCTGCAGAGGGTCGGGGGAACGATGACATTGATAAAAGTCATTCATCGAACCAAAATAAATACCTACCTTGGAAAAGCCCCAAGATGCATTGATTTCTAAATTATTTTTGCATTAATTCATATATTTAATATTTAGTGGATAACTATTTGAAAACCATCAGATACTAAGCATGCCATTTAAAATACTCCAGATATTTCTGAGCAAAGTTTATATTTGGGCCACAAACATTGAACACAGGTAGCTCTGATCTTGTAGAAAGTACCAGCAATGGGAGAAAAGTGTACTTTTAAATCAAATCATTACAACCCCATCAGAGAATCGGCATGTACTCCACCTCCTCTTCATTGTCAAACCCAAACATATTATT